GTCACTGTCTTACCATTCCCTTTTGCTGCAGAAGCAGCGATTTCAAGCGCTAATTTGCTTTCGTTTAAAACCAGAGAAAAACGTTTCCCAAGTCAAACAAATATTGTGTTTACAGCAACACGCAATGCTGGTGTGATGCGCAAGGAAAAATTGCAAAACGCATGAAAATTCACTACGAGTCATGTAAATCATGTGCGTGGCAAATCCCTGAGGTGGCTTAGAGGAAACAGACTCATAATTTTTTCTTTCTCCTTCTGATTCCTTACATAATTTCTATTTTCATATTCAATCAAAACTATAAGCTCCTGACTTGCTCTAAATCTCCGTTCGGTTGAAAAATGTGATGATGACGCGATTGTTCCATACTAATGTGTGTAAGGCAACATGCAAGACCAATGAAAACTTTACGAAAACATAATCTATTCAACGTGTTTTCTATGGACGCTTCATAGGGCATGTCATATTTTCTGAAACAAGGGGAGCCTTGATTTCAATCATTCTGTGCCGCCGCCTTGTGCTAAGCTCTGACTCGAAAGAGTTGCCACTGTTACGGTCATCTCAAAAAAAAAACGAAAACAACGACATAGATATTACCAAGAAACTAGTAAATAGTAAGTATATAGTAATAATAAGTGAATTTCAAAAATTTGCGATCCATTCTCAGGAGGGGGAGGGAGGACGCCCCCTCATTGATACAGGACATAGCACAACTAATTCTGATAAAGTGTTGTTAAGCATTTGGAACCACTTGCTTGTGGCGCATTCTTTTCAATCGTGTCGCACTTCACGTGTAATCCCTTCCTTTTACTTTTATGATGCTTAGATATATTGTTACCAAAGAAATGTCTTTGGCTTTGTAAACATAAGCTAAGGCGTTTGTCAACTCAAATGCAAGTTGTTTTATGCAATATCCGAGTGATAGTTGAGAGACGTCTACAGTGGGAACACTTCACATAATTGCACTTCGTCTTATTTCAGCATTATTTTTCATTTACTTAAGAGGTGCTAAAATATCAGGCGTGGGTAAAGGGTTTATTACAGTCTGCACCAATCCTGAATCGGCCAAAATTGGCATGGCGGGAGTCCGCATTTAGATCCTTGGGAATTTGCGTCACGCCTACGTCTGCTTGCCTGCTCATCCCCAACCTCTTCGCTTCTCCGACAATGCGCATATGCAGCACAGAGTACTGGCGCTGCGTGCGCGCAAATTCAATGAGCCGTTCGGCCTAATACCAATTGTAGGACTGTAAAATTCTATCAATTCATTAGCATAGTTGATTTGAGTGCAGATAGTTGCCGAGTTGACCTCTCCTGAAAAATCCGGTATAAATCGAAAGCAGAAATTATAAACTTATATAAAACTCAATTATGTGTCGTAGGATGCATGAGTGCTAAATGTTATTTCTGATTTACTTTTGATTTTGCTACAATGTCGGCCATCTTGTCCTATACCACGCTTTTTCATGCGCTTCGGAGAAGAAGCGTTGCAAGCTGAAGGATGGCTTATTTTTGGCTACCACAATAAGTTGTGAACTTATGTTAATGTGAAGCTTCAATCGTGGAAAGAAGGACAAACATATGCAATGTGGTGTATTCAAAGAAAATACCTGTTGAACATTGCTTGCTCCTCCTTTTACCCTCCCTTTCAAGTAGCCGGCCAGATCTTTGCACATGCCATCTATGGGAAAGTCCCAGCACGCGACGTGACCCTCAGCAAGGACAATTACTGCCAAAAAACTAACAAAAGTCTCATTTTGTCAGTAATTTGACTGAAAGAACGCATTTTGTTGAGTAAGTAATAACATGAAGAAATGAGCAAAATAGGACAGAGTAGCGGCGGTAAACCGCCTTTATATAACAAGAACATATATTATCACCACTACGGCGAATTTTGCAATTTTGAACGACAATCGTTTCATAATCGAGGGTGTTTTTACGTAATTAACTGTTCAATATGACTGTGGGTGAAAATCAAAATTTCGTGGGATTTATTCAGTGTGGCTCAAAGATTTAGAATGTTGAATGATAAGACAAAGAGCATTATGTTACAAAGTCCATACACTAATTGGATTGTTAATCGCGAATTAAGAGCAGTATTTTATGATTCGTTCAAAAGGATTAGCAATATGCTACGACTAGACAAGGTGTGGAAGTAGCGCATTAGAGTGCGTGTTATATTTAATGAATGAACGAAATTGTGTCCAGCATACCAACTAAGCCCACTATAGAAACTACGGTGAATCCGAAAGCTTGATACCTTACCGTACACCTACCTTCTGACTGAAAGCCCCTGACATGTGGACTGAATGTTAACATAAAACATGTCATTAATTCTGTGGACTCTATGAACCGTTGCCTGCTACCACTTCTAAAGCGTCTCTTTCAAGCAAGCATGACTTGGTTTTATAACCAGAAAAATTCTTTGTAATTTACTCATAACGAAGTAGCGTTTTTTGTTAACTTACCTCTGAACTACGTTATATATCGCTTTCAGATAGTGGATCCAAAATACTGAAAAGAATTGTGGACCGTCACAAGGCGAGCTTGTCAGAATAAGCTCACACTTATTATAGTACTAGCTGGCTTACCCGGCTCCGCCCGGCCCTGTCAAAACACTGTAATAAAGGTCCCATCCCTATCCCTCTACAACCTTTCCCTGTGCCCACTTCTACACTTCATTTTCCGTTCCCTGTGTTGTTTTCGAAATCAGCATGCCCACTTACCCCACTGTGCAAACTCCCAGCCTCGTATTTCAAACTTTACGAAAAAATCGATAAAATCGATAAAAGTAATCGATAATCCTGAAAACTAATACTGTATTCGGAATCCTCATGCTCGATTACCCCCCCTGTGCCAACTCCAAGCCCCATAGGTGAAGTCTGCAAAAAATCGATAAAAATCGATAAAATCGATATCGATTAATGACGAAGAGTAGCCTGTGGCACCCGCCGGGGTCCGAAGTGTAGTGCCAAGTTTGGTTCGGATCGGTTCAAAAATGGAAAATCTATTCGGAACATACATACAGACAGACATACAGACAGACTTACAGACAGACAAACAGACATTCAGCTTTATATATAAGATAAGATGGGGTTACAAAAACCCTTGAAACTCATACTGTCATGCTTTCGTAGTTTCGTGCTTAATTAACTAGCTCGTCTGCAACCGATCCACTCCTGGTATGAATTGTAGGCTCAAACCTTTTTTCCCATAATAGAAAATTCATTCACAACCCTCCACTCCTAGGAAGGATTATAGTCCTTGTCCAGCATTGTCACTACCCGTTATAAAATTCGTCCTCATGTGCTATTGCATGAATACGCACATACTTCAATAAAAAGAAACACCTTAAAACATGCTTGGTTTTCCAGAGGATGTATTAATTCACAGGTGGAGGTGAGAAAGGCAACTTTTCACGTAGGTGTGCGTGGTGGCAATATGGGCAGAGGATCAAATGTCTCCGAAATTGGAAGACCCGCGCAGACATTTTTGACAACAGAGGTGCCTGTTACGGATGTCCGAGTAAATCTTTTCTCGACGACATATATACATGACATGTAGTTTTCCATCCGTACAGTTCGTGTTCAACGGTAACCTTTGATTTAACTAGCTTGGCTTCGTTAAGGCGGGGTTTTGTGACGTACAAGGCCGCTCGCGCCCGCGATGCACCTGCGTCTCTCTCGCGCGGGTGATCTCTGAATCACTAGCTAACCTTAATTAGGGTCACGGAGCCCGCCGTGTCAGAGCCAAGCCAGTTGAATCATACGTTATGCGCCTAACCTTACACTCGACCTTGCTTTTGTTCAGAGAGCTAAGGTAATTATCCGCAGAAATGTCCGAATCAAATCAGAACCCTTCAATGCTCGTGAACTAAGCGGTTTTGTAATCTGCGTTCTGATTCGCGCAGTATGTACCTTCACATTATTAGAACAGCAATAAAAAGATTGCTCCTTGTTCATGGCAGTTTCGTGCTTGAACTATTAAGCTCATCAAGCTTTAGACACACTTCATTTCTGTCACTGAATCATTTTTAAAACTCGCAAACCAATTCCTTGCAGCCATGTTTGATTGTAAACAATGATGATTACGTTTGCGCTATGACCCTTACTGAAATCCTGTTCAAGGCAACTCGGCTGAAGGCGGGCCAACTTGAACCTAAGCGCCTTCCGGCATCCGATGAGCTATTGATCTGGACGCGGATCGCTTCTTGTGCTTTTTGAAAACTAAGCCCCTGAGCAGGTTTGTTTGAACGGCTAAGTGAACGGGTCTCAACGCGAAAGACCAAGGTTCGAAGAAGTGGCAGATTTAATGGCAGATTCTTGCGCCACTACCGGACAATCTTTGATAGCGGCCACTACTGAGACGGATCGATAATGACCGCTATCAGAGACTTCGCCTAGCAAACGACAAGGTTAAACAAATCACAATATTTTGGCATGCATACCGGTGAAAAATCACAATTTTCGAATAATGATAAAAGGATACATTCACATTCTTCCTATTTGGAGTGATTTTTTCTGAAGTTTTTCTATTTCTTCGCCACAATCAGCTGTTCACTGCTCCTCTTCCATTTAGACCGCCAAAATTGTGCCATAGGGAGTTTTAAAAGCAACAGTACGCCAGCTAAATTGCCCCGTAAATTACTCACGAGCGACTTACAGAAAATTTGCCTAATTCTCCTCTTTTGCACACTATCTCCCTCGGGTTACCCTAAAATTCACCTTTGGATAAGTAGGATACTGTTGAATTGATTGTGACACTTGACCGGACAGTCTTCTAACTATTCAGCTGACCATCTCAAAGCAAGGGAATATGGGCGGTTTCACCGTAAGAAATTTTTCTGAATGATTAATCACAGGTCAACTGATATGAATGGAGTTTACTTCGAGCCTATGTTTGTTGGTTAATTTTAGTGTTTAAAACACAAATTCAACGTTTATCGAAAGCTGAATGTTAATGCTCTCTTTTTAAATGAACCCAGGGGGTCCTGAGAGGAAACCGATGATAAAGACTCAATCCGCATACAAGCAATTAGCATGGAAACATCTGTCGATAACACTTGTTCAGAAGGTAAAGACATGCTGAATACAAGGGCACACTTTTGCTAACCGCATTCGGAAATTAGAAGAAACTCTTTACAAAATGTTTGAATGACGGAAAAGCACTTCTATAATAATTACTAATAATACTTCCAATAATTGAAGAAATTGCAAATATACAATTCCTTATCATTGTCTAGTGCGTCTTCTCGCCGGCATCCAACATTGAGAGTTCCGAATACCATTCCCTAAAAACCCCTTTCTTCTTTCTCGAAAACACCACATATGCAGATTTGTGGTTAACAGAGTTTGACTACGTTACTTTTTGCTGAGCTATAGACGAGTTTCGAGAAACGTTGATTTCTGACATAAACATCTAATCGCGTTCTTTCCAATTTCTTTCTTCAGCGCTTTCCAAGCACTTGCTCATAAAGGGGTTTGACGATGCTGAAGAAGAACAATAGCTACAGCCTCACTACACCTTAGGCACCCGCCATACTTAATCCTCTTGATCCACTTGAACCGCTTGATCCGCTTGAGCTTCATGCAAAACGCGCGTCACTAATTTGTCATTTGGCGTCGCGTACAGCGAGTTTGCTTAGCCATACAAAATTCCTTCTTACCTACGCGGCGCCGAATGACAAACTGCTGTGTGCCCGCGTTCTGCACGAAGCGGATCAAGTAGATCAAGAGGATCAAGTATGGCGGCTGCCCTAGAAGAAGCAGCAGCAAGTGTTAGGATGCTTCATAAAATAGAGTCCTTCTGCCTAGTATATCAGAACTTTCTATTCCATGGCTTGATCTAAAAGGCTGTAGCGGTCGCGGCCAGTCGTTTTCTCTCTTAAAAATGCTCATAACTTCTTTTCAAAAAGGCGCTCAAGAGATGGAAGTAGATTTGGACAGCGTTTCAAACTTCCTCTGACGTACGCAGCTCGTGATCGGCCACTTCGACTTCGTTACTCTCTTCGTTAGACAAGTTCAAAATCAAGGAAGATTTACGCCTTCTTAAGTAGCTTCCAGACCGAAGATTGTAGCTTTTGCAGCAGTTAGCAGCTTTGGCATCGGTTGTTGTTCATTTGCAGTGGTTTTTGAAGTACGACTATAAAAAATATGGATCCAAAAGTGAGACTTGGGACTAGAAAGACATGCATATGACTGCCACGAACTTGCACACTTATGTCGCATATATTTTTGATTAAATCACTCAAAGGAAACAACACATGAGACTGGAACATAATATCAAGAAGAAACTGCAAAAAGTGAGTGCAGTCTGCGTCTGACTTTGTCGTTTGTACGTCTTTTGCAATCTGCGTCTCTTCATTTCAATCTATCTCGCTGAGTCAGTGACGCAGACGCTCTGCTACACTTGGAATGTTCGTCTACTGCGGGTTGAAAAAGACTGTATGTTTTTGCCAGTGGCATACCAAGGAGGGGAGAGGTTAAGACTCCTCCCTTCCCCCCCCCCTCTCGCGAAACTTTTGAAAGTTTATGTATGAGTGAGTGCAAGTGTGCAAAAGAGTTGTTTATACTTTTGAATATTTGGAATTATTTTAAAATCCTTTTAAAAATTTGATTTAGCCTTATAAAAAAGTTGTTCGGGTCTAAAATTTGCGTCGCTAGCCACGCACCTTCATCAGAGGAAGTTTTGTTCCCCCCCCCCCCTCAAACGTCCTGGGTAAGCCACTGGTTTTGTACCTATGTTCCAGATAGAAAACTTCTAAAACAATTGGACTGACTTTGCACACATACACTTTGAGGCGGGTGTCGTAGTCTACATTCCGACCAATCTGGATTTTATTGATTTTTTGCAAAGTTTGAGCTACGTGGTTGGGACTGCCAGAGGAGCTGTGAGTATGTGATTACGAAAATAGTGAAGACAGGTTACTGGCATATAGGGAGGACCGGGACAGGGAGGTATTGTACGAAATTAGGGCACAGTGATTTCTATCTAATGTCAGGGCAGAGCGGAGCCGGATTGCCAGCTGATTCCAAATAGCCAATTGGTGATAATTATTTTTTTGATAATCGGCACTTTCGCACTTGTAAGCTTTGCATGCATTCAGCTGTCTCTCTACATGTTTGGGGTGGATTGAGACTTAATGACCGCGTTACTATAAGCTGGCTTGGTATTTCTTCTTCTATCGTCTATCATGGCCGCTTTTGTTCTCGATCAGTTCGCAGTCATCTTGTAACCATCCACTCAAGGAAATAACTTTTGCTGTGCATATTTGTAGTTTTCATTGCAAACTGAGAGGGACTCTAGACATCACTTCGAATGATTATAGAGTTCCAAAAAGTAAGCACACTTTTTTATTCGTTGATAACTTTCTCTGGTACTTTTCCGTTATCCGGATCCATTTTTTCAAAGAAGGATAATGCTTCTTTCTTTGCACTATATTTGGCCCCACCTTGATAGTAAAGAGTGTCAACCTTCTGCCACGTGTCAAGAAAATTTGACATGCCATCTACATGTTTGACAAGTTTTACAAAAGTTTGTTTTGCTCTACCTAGCAACATGGGTTCAACCTGTTTTTGGTCAATAATGACCCCATTTTCGATTAAACAATTTCAAAAATGACCATTGTCATAATAATAACGTCACCCTCTTATCAACGAACATACTAGATATGCCCAGAATAGAGAAGTAAGCCTGGGTTCCATCATTTAAGCGGCGAAGCAAGCAGCAGCGAGGTACTACAAGCCATCATTTATAGACTTTCCTGGCTAAACTCGCAAGGCGGAAAGTTTGAAGAGAGATACATTCTTGAATCATCGCTAGAAGCAATCAAGATATTCTAATAATGGTTCTAGATTATTTTGTTTTTCTATAAATCAACTGCACAGCTTTTAGTGATTACAAATGCCCTTATACCTCACCGGAATTGATTTCGAAAAAACATGTCAAAATGGAGAACGCGTCAATTTTTCCCCGACACGTAGCGGGGAGGCAGTCCTCGTAGAATCCATAAAGAGTTGTACTTAGACTACAGAACGTATTCTATAAGAGCCTTATAAAAATGGGTCCGGATAACGGAAAAGTACCCATTCTCTTTACGAAGTCTTCTGCTTAGCTCTAAGTACCATTAGATAAGGCTTCAACTTAGATCTACAACATGGAGCGAATCCCCATCGCTTTTCGTTACTATAGGGTGCGGAAAAAGTACTGTCCCTCCAACTTGGCTCCTGAAATACCTCAAACATAAAGTATATCTGTAGTTTTTTGATTCCCACACGTAGGCGAGATCCTTAAGATTAGATAAAGATAAGTTTGATTTGCAACTGTTCCCTTCTGTTTGTTTAGACGAGTGATAACAGCGCGCAAGAACATCAACGATGCGCCGATAGCATACAAGCGCGATTTTGGACCGTAACTATACCACCAGCATTGATATAGGGTTCAAATTAAGCTGTTATGTAGTGCATGACCCCTTCTCCAATATTTTATACCCATTATAGATGAATTATAGATAAGTTACTCCTGTTTTGGCCAAATAAGGAAGATTATAACACACGCAAATCGCAAAAATTCTGGAAAAAAACGCGAGTCAGGACTGCACTTGCTCAATGATCTGGACTCAAACTATGATTCGAAATTCCGGACTCCAACAAAAAGTAACAGGAATAAGGAAAAGAGCATCGGAGAGCATCGGACTTTGTCTACATCACGATTTTGGAGCGATAAGCGATTATACCTAGGTCTCTGTGCCACGTTTTCTGATCGCACTCTGTTGCGCCGCAGCCACTTTCTCGTTAGAAAAATTCACAGCTTTTCTCCTAGTGCAAGTGCTGACTGGATACTTTCAGAATATTTCGGGAACCACTACTACATTCCTTAAGCAGTAGAGGATTTCTCAAGTTCGCTTGACAAACAAAAAAATTTCTCAAAAATCCTCACGCTTCTTCAGATTTGTAAAGGGGAGTTGCAAAATTTGATATGAAATGCGCTACGCAAAAGGATCCAACGCCGGGTAAAACTGTGGAATTTTGAAGCCAGTTTTTGTAAATAGATAGAGTATATTCCCATCATGGAAATTATGTCTAATTTAGCAGAAAAACCTGTGAATTACTCCGATTTTTTAAAGTTTATTTTGAGGGACAGTACTTTTTCCGCACCCTGTATATTATACTTGGGGAAATTCGAAATTTTTTTCGAATATTCGAATATCGAATATATTCGAAAATTGAAAATTTCGAATATTCGAATATCGAATAATATTCGAAAATCGAAATTCTCGAATATTCGACTATCGAATATTATTCAAAATTTGAAAATTTCGAATATTCGAATTTCGAATATTATTCGGTTTTCGAATGTTATTCGATTTTCGAATACTGACCGAATAATTTACGTCATTGAGACTGCCTATAAAAGGCCAAAACACTAAGAATAAATTGTTTCATGTAAGTGCTAAGCATTGGACACATTCTTATGGTACAATTTACGATGGAAAAACGGTTTAGTCGTGACGTGAAGAGACTTAGGAACCTAAAAGCTACTCCTGATGACGGTTGTGAAGAGATTTTTCGTACTTCAAAGAAGATTATACATACACCCTCATTGAGAGTTGCGATTGGATATACAGCGGTCCCAACAGTATGTAGATCTGTAGGCTGACATCAACTTAGAGTATGGGGCGATTTATCAATCGCTTTTCACTGCTGTAAAATTACCGTAGGGCTGAAGCAGGTTTCAAAACATCAAGACCATTTCACCAAGAAAAAGAATCAAAAGTGCTGAAAGTCTTGCTTTAGATTCCTAAAGATACTCACTTTATGTAAAATTTGCACCCATCCGTTATGCTTTTTTCAAAACTTACGCCAGATATCCTGTGTCCCCCAGAAAAGTTCCCAAGTGCGCCAGCGTGCGTACGTGGTGCGACGCTGTCTTTCGCTCTTTTTGACACGTTTCTCCTAAGATTTCAACGAACTGCCCGAGGTTAACACGTTCAAAATAGCGAAAGGCAGTGACATGACGTGGTAGCTTATGAGAAATTTGCTGGTGAACAAACGATACACCGTAAAAAGTGTTTTGCAGCGTCTTTCAGAAATGTGATTGCCATTTGAAAAGCTTGAAAGCTCGTGCGTAGTAAAATCAGCATACGTAATAACACTACTGCACAGATTTTAGACCTTTTTTGGGGACAATTTTTTTGGATGTCTTATTTTGCAGTCGGTCTATAAGCTGGAGTTTCCTACTGTGATAACACACAATAAGAAAAACATGGATGATTCGCTTTCTGCTGTATTTATAAGCTGAAGCCATCTCTACTGGATGTTACCCAGAAATTGGCAAAAGACTGAGAGGTATTAGCGATCAAACGGTGTGTAGATACTTTTAAACATCCCGTATACGCTATGCATATCGAATTCTCGAATATTCGGTGCTTATCGAATTTTCGAATAGTCAATTCTTATCGAATTTCCGAATATTCGGTGCTCGACGAATATTCGAATATTTGATGGACATCGAATGATCGAATGAATGACCCTCGAATATTCGACTATCGAATAATATTCGAAAATTTAAGATTTTCGAGTATTCGGCTTTCGAATAATATTCGAAAATGAAGATTTTCGAATATTCGACTATCGAATATATTCGAAAACTGAAAATTACGAATATTCGACTTTCGAATTTTATTCAAAATTTCAGATTTTCGAATATTCGACTTTTCGAATCATTCGCATTCGAATGATTTATTCGAATGATCGAATAATTATTCGATTCGATCCCAAGTATACTGTATATGATAACGGTAGGAACTCCCAGCATATAGCACCAATATAGAATAGGCCGTTTGAAATAGGAGCTTCAAAATGTAACAGTATTTATGGATGTGCTGATTTCATTAAACAACTTTCATGAGTTTCTTAAGCGTTTCTAATGATTTAGTCACATTTCCGAAAAGCCTGAATAAAGTTGTTGCGGCTCACACGGCATAACTCATGGAATAAAGCCTTACTCTAAAGTGTGAATTTCATACTCATCAGCAACTCAGTTTCGCCAAATGAGAAAATTTTCAGCTTGTTGTGTATCCATTCTGTTGCAAAATGTAACCTGATGGCTCAAAACCCTCTTATCCTAATCCTACAGTAAGAGGAGTTATGGGTGAATCGCTTTATGCTGCAAATCCAAATGAACCTGTTCTACTGAATGGTAACTGAAGTTAAGAAGAAGACTTTGTGGGAAGAGGGTAATTAACGAGTAAGTACTGTATACTTATTTTTTGAACACTGTGTATTGTCAAGGTCAAGACAGCATCTCAGGTGGGTAGGTAAGAAAATGCCGCAATGCCATGTTTCTGTCAAAATAAAGAAGGGCCCACACTTCCATGCCCTATATAAGTCACTCAGTTCATTCATTCATGAAATCTTTACCCAAGTTCAAGCAAAAATTAATTTGTTTTCACACAAAACCTCTTTCATGCATAGTCTATGATCAAACCAGTGAACCCGGCGTATATATGCGAATAAAGTTAAGATTCAATTTTTGACATCACCTGTTGGACCACATCCTGTGCGGTCTGACTCAATCTATGCAGTGAACCAGCAGCACCTTCAATGATTTCAGATGGAGTTGCGCCTTTTCTAAATCCTTACATATTGCTTGTTGAGACGAGATTATTGATGAAACAAGCTAATTGGTACCTCAAAGTAAAGGTGACAGAATAGACATCCTCGAGATCACTGCTATATTTCTAAAAGTAGCAGCAAATCTTTAAAAAGCTTTACTCTTCCATGTCAAGGGGAGCAAAAAGTGATACTGCTGAAGTTCGACTTACGATTGGTTGTTGCACATGACCGTATCCGAACTCTTGGTTCATGTAGTAGTAGAAGCCTAATTGTGCGTCTCCCCTCCAGTCGTACTCTGTGGAGACGATCATTACTTGGACAATCTGGAACATATTCCCTTGATTCAATAATCATTTGATGGTCACGATTAATGCAGCAATTATGACTCACGCCGAAAATCGCCAATCGTCGAAGCATCTTCTAAAAGCTGTTGCGTTCAAACTAATCAATCGCTTTTATTCTAGGTAGGTAAGGCATGGTCAAACATAAATAAAAGTGCAATTGACCTGCTAAATGTAGCTATTTTTTGTATGTTCAGATGGATCATATGAGCTTATAATCGTACACATTTGAACAGAATAAAGTCTATTGCTTGACAAAGGCAGAACACGTGTAGGTGAACGCGCTCAATTAGTTATGCGCGGACTTTCACTTTGCAAAGAAGCAAGTAGGTATGATTCGAGTAGTTGTTGAAAACACTTGCTTGCCTTTGAAACTATCAGGGTGTTCCATAAATTTCTACCGTTGTTAATTTCTTCCGCCCCCAATCACCATCTTATTTGTTTTTTTGTATAGGTTTTCCTTTATTGTTGGACTGCAAAAGAAGATCTACAAGATAGTATCCAAACATTCGCGCAACGTCTCTTCTACATAGAGTTCGAAACCGAAATCTAATTGTAAGAAAATCTGAATGCCTAAAAAACCGAGTGAAAATCGCATTTCCGCTCAGAAAATTACTACAAACTTCCTACTTTGCTCAGCCACATACTTTCACCGCTTGGTATTTCTCTGTAAATATGATAATTTTTTGCACAACTAAAAAGAAAAAATTAGTTTTGGTGTTTTAGCCAGAATTGCGTTAACCTACACCCACACGCTTACTCTATAATTTGAACCTTTATAGGTGAATCTATGAATTTTTGACTTTTCATAGACAATAATTTATGAGCAATATCAAATTTAACGCAAAAAAACCGAGAACAGGTTTTTTGTGCTTTTGGCCTTTATTGGTGTTTGTGCGTTTTCCGAGTTTAAGCCACTAGAAAAATAGGTAAACTTTTTGATAAATATCAAATGTAGAGAGTATATGACTGGACGAAGGAAATCTGTAGGAAAGTTCTGAAAGGAGATACGATTTTTTTACTTTATGGGCATTCAGCTCTTTTAAAGTTTTGGCTTCAAACTTTATGTAGAAACTTTGAGCAAATTTGGATGCTATTTTGTAGAGCTTGCTGTGCCTGATCAAATGGTACAGCAACACCTATTTGAAAGGCAAGGAGAGTATGAGTAAATTGTGGGAGGAAGTAAAAACATTGAATCACGGGACACCCTATTAAGTTGATTCAGGCTTCTCTGACCGGCCGATTAATATATTCGCTCTTTATATTAAAATCTTATTACAGGACGTCGATGACTTAGTATAGCTTACATTGTATCTGCGATTCGCGTGCTGCATCTCATTTCAAAAAATGCTTCAGCAATATCACTTTACTAGTAAGCCAGGGGGGGGGGGGGTGTGCGTTCATGTCGAGAGACACTGCAGAGTCCCGCCGCTAGGTTTTCAACAATGCGCCAAATCGCCATCTTTGCTATCATAAAGTTTAACAGAGAAAACGTCTTCAAAAAGTTCAATTCTCTATGCGATGCACAAAAAAGAAAAATTTTAAGAAGGTTTATGAGTTTTTTTTTGTATTTTGTCATCATGTTTTGAATGCTAGGAGCGCCAAGGTGTCTCCACATAAGAGACATTGCCAAAAAACATTTTAAAAGAATTATAAAATAGGAAAAACCCAAGTAAGTGCGGGGGAAAAATCAGAGAAAAATTGGAAATTTGTGTGTGTTCACAAAACTGTCGTAGACTTGTTTGTCATTTTTGCGCGGCTTTAACAAAAATTATCCCTACAGGCTTTGCGATACTAATTTTAGTAGCTGCGTTTGCTAAGAGCATTTTTTCAAAATTGCGCAAAAATGTGTGCAGTGTCACCTAGATCTCGGTGGCCGTCTTGCCTCCGAAATACGTTCAAAAGTTATAAAAACCCACAGTCACCGGATTCTAGGCTATGCCGCTTCCACAAAGCTCCCAGATAAAAAACTGGTTCCATTCAATCGATGAAGTCTCATAGTTAATTTATTGTAATTTTCTGTTTTTCTTTTGCGCATTTGTACCCAAGAATTTTTTCAGCGTAAGCATGCCTTGTCAACTTTGATAAATTTGATACTAAACGAACTTAGACACCATTTACAGAGCTGTCGCGGAATCGCTCTATCATGCCGCGTTTTTTCGAACAGGAGCGATTGTCATAGAGACGCAAAGGAATTTTTGAAACGACATTTGTGTGTTGCGCACAACCTTGTCGGCAGTTTATTCTGGTTTTTGTGGAGTCGGAGTTTGAAGTCTCAGATCGTACGATTCTCAGCGGTGAAGGTATGATCCAAATAGAATTGCTCTTTACTTCTTGGCTGATCATCTTGTCATGAACGACACTGTAGAATACAGGGCCAACAATTTTGGCGAGCCCTCTGTGTACTAGGTTCTTCGGTAATCACTCTCCTTTCCTAAGCGTTCGCGAAAGGATGAGATAAAATGTAGGAAACATATCGGTTGATAGAAAAAAGCAAGCTTTATGTGATGCAATCAGAAAATTGCGAAGAAAATTCGAATATTTTTGGTTTACGCAAAAGCTTCGTGCTTACTCAATATATTGGCTTAATGACTTTATAGAAGGGCATCCCTTTATATCTATCAGTACATGAATAAGCGCTTTTTTTTTCAGATATACTGAGCTCACAAATCAGCAACATTAACATAGCCTGAAAATAAGTTCATTGTGCTGTAATAAAAAACTGGATTTAACGCTGTACAATTTGGTAGGTATATATACTTACAGATTAGTGAAAGAATTCGGAGTGAGGTTTACAATATGCCAGTATTTTTTGGAAAAACGACGCACAGTCGTCCGATTCACGTGACATCACCGTAGCGTGGCCATATCTCGCTTCAGAGTGGACGAAATCTTAATCTAAAGGCAACATTCGACATTTTATATAGAAGTGCCTGTGTGGACACAGTAGAAGGCAGATCCACAGATTGTTTCAGATTTTTGCTTACTGTAGGCTGCTCAGTGCAATGGATGATCACACCGGGTAACCTACCGTGAGCAAAAATCTGGAACGATTTGTGGATTCTGGCCTCCTACTGTGCAAATAGGCACTTCTATAAATCAAAAGATGCGCCGCGCCGAGTTGAGTCGAATGGTGCACTCGGATTAAAAATTCGTCCACTCTGAAGCGAAATATGGGCACGCTGCGGTGACGTTCCATGAATCGGGCGACTTCGGGTCGTTTTTTAAAAATACGGGCGGTAATTGAGACACATCCAAAGATCTAGGCGGATTTTTAAGGAGTGGACAGCTGCATGATGCCGATTTACCACAAGTCCCCTCTTATCCTACTACTGTCTTTACCACTTCCTTCTCACTCCAGTTTCGTCTTGCATATGCATCAAACATTCCGGTCTTCTTGATTCACATCCCTGCTCACAGTACTGCAGTCTTAGCAGCAGATGATAACCCAGAAAGACATCGTAACACATCTTTTGGAAACACATAGTCTAAGAAAGCATGATTCTAAAATATATTAAATTGGCTTAAACAATATCACTGTGTGGCTAATTTATTGCCAAATTTTGGATCCACTCTCGCTGTACAGATGAAATATCGCGTATCACATTGGGCAGAGATTTCTAGGCGGGATCACAAAGGGTAATGATTGTGTTAAAGATTTAGCTGAATATGTTTCGCAAATTATATAGGTTGAGAATTTTGTAGCAGTCCTTGCAGGAATCACATCTGTTTTGAAAATATTGCACATTTCCGTAAATGATATGAGCAGTAAAACGAACCAGGAAAACTTCAGACCTTGTTTTCCTGTGTTCAGCCAACACAGGAAACGAAAGCATACTTAGGATTCTATCAAAAAGACCTTCAAATTATATAAAAGAGATAGCCGCGATCATTTCTTCCTCGAGACCCAACATTTCAAAATGTTGAAAACTAGACATAATTGAGAGACAACCCAAGTGAATATGATGCTTGTGATGATTTTATGAGAAACGAAGAAGATACTCTTGTTTTTAATTAAAACGCAGAGCGAGTGCCCTTGAACATGTGACTCAAAAAATTCTTGAATCTTTCTTAGAGGTTGTGTATGAAGTGTATGTATTACATGTATTTCCATAGATGGTTGTGTCTTTTAACATGACAAGTCTGTGGGAATAAATTGTAGTAATCCAAAATTCATTTTGAAACCTTTTACAAGTACATTACATGCCAAATTTTGCAAATCATGCACAAAAATGTATTCTGAACTAAAAAACGAAAATATAAAAGGGCATGAAAATAAGTATGAGCATACGAAGTCCTTTATGTCTAGTGTTCTTCTTGCAGTAAGTTCCATGCCATACAGTATTATTTTTTTTACAAAATCACACCAGCTCCTTTCCGCCACATCTGAAGGGTATACCGACCTTCCTCCCTCGCAACTTTGAAAACTGTGAGATTTTTGGTCTTGAACAATGGGACGCTATTGAACTGCTCAAAGAAATTGGCGATAATAGCGTGGCAACTTGCGCTTAGAAACATTTTTGTCGCCCATGGATAATTTCTTTTTTAATCTATCCTAGACACTCTCTTCATCAATAATGCGCGATTTGAGCACATTGCTAGAATAGTGTTAAACATGAAATTGGAGAACACTGCAATTGATATTTACAAACATGCATTCTTTTTTCGATTTTTCAATTTCAATGGAGTCAGCCCTCGACAAATGGAAAATGGGAAAGGCGACTAATTATGTTTCGACCTTCAAACGTCCAACTTATATATCACGAGTACTGAAAGAAATCTTTCCTGCTCGTATGCGAAGAATCGTCGCGAGTTTCGACATAATAATGGCTTGTCATTTACCAATTATTATTTTGGATTTTTCGCAGAGCTGAAACTTTTTCCACTATTAAAATGTCGTCGCTCAGGTAAAACTAGGCCAAGATTTATTTAAAAATTTCATTTGTTAAAGTCAGAGAATTGCATAAAAGAAGTTTTTCGTGCCTTTACCATTACTAATGAAACCAAAATGAAGAAGTTGCGTCCATGTCAAATTTATCAAAGCAAGTTTACAAACGTGATTTTTTGGCATTGTTTCAAATCTAAAAATCTTAGGAGTTCGTTTTTAAAACCTAGAGTTGTGACTTTTTCCGGACCTGGAATGCGTGCTGGATGGGTCGACGTATTCCTT